AAGGTATCCAGTGATGTAATTTTACCCACAAACGGACTTGAAGTTTTTAAGCTAATTTTTTTTAAACCACTTTTGTCCAAAAAAGCATATTTTTGACCCAAAATCAAAAACGCATTCTGGATATTTAAAATAAAGACAAGTTTTACAAAGTTTGTATAATAAGCTTTCAGAAAATATATAACATGTTGGATATATAATACGATCTTCATTGTCTAATTACTCAATTAAAAAGCAAGCCAAATAAACTGCATCTCTACCTTAAGCGTCCTCTAATAATAAAAACAAACATGGCTACCACCAGAGTTACTAGTATCCGGATTCCACACAAAGAAGTTCACTGATTCTGTTCTAAACATTTTTGATTTCAGCATTCCAATGGTGTATCCTTGGAAGGAAAAAATGTGTAATAACAAGGTTATTACAAGGATACAAAGACAGTACGTCGCGCATCGGTCGATACACCAGCAGTACTGTCTTCGTGCATACTTTGAGGTATCCTCATAATAACCTCATATTATTGTATGATAAACCCCTTAATTTTCACTGCTAGGCACATTTACGATTTGATGAGGTTATGGTATTCGTGAAAAAAAAGTCGCTGACACTGCTACAAAATTTAATAATTTTCACTGACTCACGAAATTTGCACAAATTTTCTATGCGAAAGAAGTTTACAGTAATTGAGAGAGTGAATGATCATTTGTTGTCATAGGGATATGATCAAAGCCTTAATTGACCTTTTAATGTGCTGTGAACTTTTTAAAATTCAATAATTAATGTTAATTGAAAAATCAATATTCTGGTAGTCAAAACGTTATCAGCCTAGACATTTTTAGATGGATAGACACCATACCATTGCCTATCAATTTAAAACAAGCCATGCATGGCACAGTCCCCGTTAGTTATCAAATTTAAGATATATAGTTTTGTTTATAGTAATATAGCTGGAATATAACCATGTCAGAATATGATTTTTTAACATTAAAATGATTGACATTTGTATCTGATCGTCAAACAAGTACTTGTCCATATTGAGAGATATTGCTCTGGAACAGCATTCAAAATCAGCTACATGTATTTTGAATACATGTATATATATAACATGATGTATAACGAATATATAAAATTTGAATATAATCAGTCAAAGCATTTATAAGATATGGCTCTTGAAGCCCAATCATTAAAACAAAATGGCCGCCAGTCAGCCATTTTGAATCCAATCTGAAAAATAAAATGACGAGCATCAAGAACCCGTAATGTCTAATGTATGTACCAAGTTTGAACGAAATCCACCAATAAATGCTTGATATTTGATGATTTTTTAGCACAAAAATGACCATCATTCGGCCATTTTGAATCTATGACATGATGTATAATGAATATTTAAAATTTGAACATAATCAGTGAAAGCAAGTCAGAGATATGGCACAAGAACCACATTCATTTATACAAAATGGCTGCCAGTCGGCCATTTTGAATCTTATCTGAAAAACAAAATTATTTGCATCAAGGTCCTATAATGTCTAATGTATATACCAAGTTTGAACAAAATCCATCTGTAAACAGCCGAGAAATGCTTGATTTTGATGATTTTTAGCACAAAAATGGCCGCCATTCAGCCATCTTGAATCAGATCGTGAAACAAATTGATGTGCATATGTATAATATCATGTATGATGTATGTGTGAAGTTTGATTGTGATTGGTCCAGGCAATTCCAAGATACAGATACCGGACGCACGGACACACAGAGGTCAAAACATAAGTCCCCGTTTTCGGACTGTGTCCGAACGGGGACTAATAAGATTACTTTAACATTAAAATATTGAAGCTACTTAGCTGCAAACATTTCAATAGAGATGGTTGTCATGGTAACTTTCGCAAGTATTTACCACCGTTTATGGCTTATGTTCATTATGCAAGGCCCAGACACAATCAATGTATGATAATATCTGACAATACCTCCATCCTTTTTGAATTTCTTGTCGATTCCGTCCATCAAAGGAAGCCCATGCTGTACTCCTCGCGTCAACAGGCACCATTACCTAAATATACAGACCACGTTAATATTCATTTCAATATTCACTGAGGGGGAAATATTTCAAATTATTTGGGGGTAGCGCAACATGATATACACCGCCATTACTGTATGTGGTATACAGTGTTAATATTTTAAATTAAGTGTTGTGAAAGTTACAGCATTAAATCAGAAATTAATTAAAATGATTGATATGTGTAATAGACCTTTGACAGAAATGGCCGCTGAGATCTCATTGAGAGCGAGAGTCACACGTTCCCCATTCTCTCCCAACATAACTTAACTGTTCCAATCACCATGGTTACACAGGTCATAGGAATAGTAGATATAATGACAGAATGAAAAACTATTTGGGGGCAAAAATAAATGGCATGGTTCTCTCGCTATCTGTGGTCGTTGCATCCATGATCAAACAAGGATATTACTGGGTATTACAAAATAAATGATTTACTTCATTGAACACATACAACAATGCATATTCACACTGGGATCAGTGACCTTTGAATGTGTACCACCAGTGATCAGTCAAGAAGAAACAGTCGAATTATTTTATCAGATTTTCTCAATTTTTGCATGATATTTTCATACAGGATATCTGTCGTTCATATTAAGGAAAGACTTTATACTGATGAATAAGGTGACCAAGTTTGATAAAGTTTGGAATAGAATTAGTAAAGTTATTGTGCACACACTAACAATTATTAACGACGACAGCAATAACAACCCTGGACAGAATTTTTTCCCTTAATATACCTTTCCCTTCCATCTTTGATGATACAGGCAAGGTAATCACAAATGTACAATAATAAATTACCTTCAATTCCACACCAGCTGGAATTACAATCGGTCTGAATGACAGGGAATGTGGACAGATCGGTGTAATCAGTATGGCAGGTACATTAGGATGACACATTGCACCTCCCGCTGCTGCAGCATATGCTGTGCTCCCGGTTGGAGTGGAGACAATTAAACCTGGAACACAAGTGCGAAATATCATATCATAAGATATTTGTATTCACATTACACATTTATATATTCAATCAATGACTGATTCCCATGATGCACTGCAGGCATGTCTCAGAGACTTCAAAAACATATCACAATAAATGAACTTACCATCTCCTTGGACTGACGTAATTGGTCTACCGTCTAGATACAAATCTAAATGTGATAGATATGGAGCAGGACCTCTGTCAATTACCACCTCATTTAACACCTGCAAAACATAGAAGTTAATACAATCTGTGAAGCTTTGTGGTTTGGTTTTATATTTCCAGGTAAATCACTGGAAATATACAGCCCACATTTTTACTATGTTTAGAAAGCAAGCCAATTTCTTGATCATTGTGGGTCCTTCAGCATCACTATTAGCAACTAGGCCTTGGAAAGTTGTAGTAGAGTTCTCTAAAAAATTAAAAAATTCTATGACCCTGAGTTACATTTTGGGGCAATAAATCCCTTGATCATGCTTGATCGTGGATGTTCTTTTTGGGTCATACATCCTGGTTTTAACCTTTTAGGTCATACATCCTAATGTTGACCTTTTGGGGTCATACATCCTGGTTTTGACCTTTTTGGGTCATACACCCTGGTGTTGACCATTTTGGTTCGCACATCCTGGTTTTGACCTTTATAGGTTATACATCTTTAGCTGTAAATATTCTCACCTGTCTTCTGCATATAATCTGTGGTGGCAAAATATTTTCTTTTCTTGACAAAATACATACACCACTATCACTGTCATCAGATTCCTCAGGAGAACTACCAGCCTCATCTGTTGCTATGGAACATTTCAACCGACTTCTCAACATGATAGGAGCCTCACCTACAAAACATGTAGAAATACCAAAGTACCGTCCAGTTTAAAATTATTTTCCCGCCAAAAACATTTATTCTAACTTCAGTGTTAAATTTCTGTATGACAGTCGGAATAGAATATAGCCAAAATTCCAAACTTTGCTGAACAACTTTGATAAGAATATATCAAATTTTGACCATGAGCTTTTTGTAAAACATAAAAAAAGATTCAAAATGGCAGAGAAATTGACTGAATAACAGATATTGTCTCAACCTCTAACCCATCAGTGTACTTCACATGGAGTGAGGACTCACCTTCTAAAACATTTGTAACCGAATCACGGAAGTTGGCAAAATCAAATGGAGTAAGAAATCCTAACGATCCAAGATGGAATGCCATAACTGGAGGAACGCTTCCCTATAACACAATAAGAACAATATGACATCATTTAAAAGGTGTGACAGAAAACAAACATACTGCTGTGCTTGAAGTCTACATCAAGGTCTAGTAATATTTGCATACATAATGATATTTATTATACTTTATTTTTATCATTAATTTATAATATATTGTGTATTTCATATTTATTTTATTATTAGTTGAAACCATGTCACAGAGCAGTCCATTATTAAAACTAACAAATGGTAAATGTACATCATTCACTGCTGATAAGGCATTACAGATTTAAATTTACTGTGTAAAAAATAAAACAACCTGTCTGATAAATCAAAATCTCCCAAGACCTTGCGACTAAATATGGTAATTCCATCTTGTGTCTAAACAACAACAACTTTCCAACAATCCTTGGCTGTGAATGATATTTGGCAGCCATCACGTACAGATCTGAGGTATTTTGATTTAACCAGTGGTCGTGCCGTGTCATACATACATGCATCAAACATTTGACATGCCTGGTTTTGAGTACTTGAAATTGTCTCTATATCATCCCGATCAAATACTTTGTTGGTTATTCCTATTTTAAGGCTGTCACCCTCATGCATCAGTCACAGCCCTCCCCCAGAATGAAATGGCTGAATAATGCAGCTGTCTGTACAGAACCACAGGTGATGCTACTTGATTTATAGGGGCATTAAGCATTACTCTCAAATGTCAATGAATTTCATGAACAAACCATCTCTAACAATATAGACAACATTGTTTTTAGAAAATGGCAACCAGTTTGCCATTTTTGATCTGACTGCAAAAAAAATAACATTCGAGTGCAATAAAGGAACTCCAATCCCAAATTCACAGTTTTCAAATTACTGTAAAATACTTTTATTTTTCCTTGGAATTATTTTATGATTTAGTGAAAATCAATCTTATTTTCTAAATTTTATATTTAACTCATCAAAAATCAGTGAAAATGAACTCTATACAAAACACCGGGAAAGCCTTTTCTGCCGAACTAAATTCCAGCTAAAATAAAGTATTTTACAATACTCAGTAACATAGAACACCATAAATATATTTGTACAAGTTATTTTACTGAATAATAAATTTTTCATTTTTCCAATAATTGTTTTATGAGTAAAACAATAATTACAAGCTGTGCTTCAAAGCACTTCACTTTCATTGTTATTGTAATCAAAAATATGCATGTTAATACCAGATTATTTTAGATCTTTTTAGAAATCATCTCTTAGCTATACCATATTGTTTTTTATTCAAAATTAGCATTCACTTTGGGGGAAAGTACAGCAAATTTGCAAATAACTGAACTAAAATTTTGGAGTAAGTTAATCCAGAGACAGTATTCAGAAGATAGTTTAAGAATACATTTCAAGAACAATTTTTTCAATTCTCATCTCAAGATTATTAACCTTACTTGACTGTGTTAGCACCCATGCCCGGTCAAGCACCTACCCCCACACTTTTACGCAATTTTTAGATTCGGGGTCACATTCGGCAAGTGAGTATGTTGTGAATTTAGATCAAACCATTTTTTCTGAAGGGTGTGCCGTTTTGCTACAGACAGTTGAGAGAAACAGTTTTATATGTCGCCTTGCAATGAACAACTTACAAATCACCCTTCAAAATGAACAAGACAATCACATAACATTTTTATAAAACTGGCTTTATTGGAAATGGAGCAAACAAATTTTGAACAAAATGGAATGACGAGAGCAACAAATCAATGCAAAATACAATCTACGTAGCATCTATACATGCTTCCATATGCCTGATCAGCAGCTACTAATATGTCTATATACATGCAAGACTTAAGTCTGTACACACTGTCACATTTTGTATAAATTGTTTTAATAACATGCAGTAATTTGTTCAACTGGATGAAATAAATTGAACGGAAATTGCATCTTCTATTGATATTCAACGTGTCCCTCAGTATTAGTTTGATTTCTCTTGTTGAGATAGGTTTGACCTAAACAGTTTTAATTGCATCATTATCATGAATTGGACCAGTCAATGAGTCAATGACTTAGATGATTAAGTTACCAAAAGGTATACCAAACAAAATGGCTGTAAAAGTGAAGCATATTTTAATTTGCATTAAATTTTTTGACATTTTAATTGATATGAATATGTGTAAACTACAGAACTCAAACTTACTATAGGTTGCATATTTGTGAATCTATGTTAACTGTTTTGATTTATGCAAGAGGGATTTGTTTGTGAATTTCGTGAGTCAAGGACTTGATCCGAAAATCTTGCGATACATTGAAATATGCAATGGTATATGTTGGGGTCTCATCTTCTCTCACAGGGAACGAAAAAAAAAATCACTAAAATTTGCATATATTATTAAACTCACATGCAACTAGTACGGTAGATTGAATTCAACAACTGTATTTTTATACAGTTTAAAATTAAATGCAAGTGTTTATATGAAAAAAAAATACATATATTTATTAATACCAGTATATCATGAGGAATGAAAAATTCAAAATGATGAACCATACAAAAATGACATAACCTACCTCCTGGAAGAGTGATGATGCGTATAAAAGTGTACCGTCCCCGCCG